AGTTGGAGGGGGGGGAGTTGGAGGGGGGGGACAGGATCTGGGGGGACCCCTAATCCCTCTTCTGGGAGAGCTTCCATCCATTTGGGGGGGGCCCACGCCCACCCCCAGTCCCACTCCGTGGGGTGACTCCGTGTGTCCCCACAGGCGCTGCCCTGCAGGACCCCGGCCTGGCCATGGCACACGCCACACCCGGGACTGGTAAGACCCCCCCACACACCCCCCCTCAGATCCCGGGGTCCCCTCCTGTGGTGGGGGGACCTCCCCAGGGGGCTGGGACCCCACCCCAGGAGCAGAGGTGACTCCAGCTTGGCCTCTGCAGGCTGGGGGTGCTCCTCGCAGCAGGGGGGAGACTCAGGGGGTGAATTTTGTCGTTTCAGATGATTTAGGTGAGTGGACCGTGGGCAGCTGGTAAGTTTTACCTCGTGTTTTTGGGGGACCTTGGCCAGAGCAGGATCCCGGAGCCTCAGGTGACAGAGCCGGTGATGGGGTGTCCCCTCCTCTGCGTGCCTGGACTGGCCGGATCCATCCTCCCCGGGGCCGTGAGCAGGATTTGGGGTGCAGAGCTGTGTACTGTCCAGCAGTGAACCCCCCCCCACGGGGATGCGATGGGGTCCAGGGGAGGGGACGGGCCGTCTGCTCCCTCCTGACAGTTGCTCTGTCCTCTGCCCTGCCCACAGAGGAGGCGTTTGTGGGTGGAAACACGGCAGGATCTGGCTGGTCTCGTCCTTTCCCCTGGCTCAGGGGGGATCCCAGGGGGATCTCACCCACGACTCGGGGTCCTCCCCGTCCTGGGGGCTCCCTGACACCCGGCTCATCCTGCAGAGATCATCGAAGAGGTTATGAAGGAGGATGGTTTCCAGCTGGATCCGGCCCCTGTCTTGCCTAAAGCGCTGCCCAAAGGCTCAGCCAAGCTGGTGGCTCGTGGCTCCAGCCCCGTGGTGGCCCCTCGGCCCCCTCTGGCCGCCGGGCTGGCGCCGTACGGGTCCGTGGTGCTGCCGGCCGACACGCGGTCACCCCAGCTCGCCCAGAGCCTCAGCACCCTCTCGCTGTCGCCCAAGCTGGTGCCGCGGGGCACAACGGGCACCGGCGGGCGTCATCGCTGGTCTCCGGCCACCGGGCAGAGCAAGGACCAGCTGGAGGAGCTGCTGGAGCCGCCCAAGCTGGTGATCACGGAGCAGCCCAAGCAGCGGGGCATGCGATTCCGCTATGAGTGCGAGGGCCGCTCGGCCGGCAGCATCCTGGGCGAGAGCAGCACCGACGCCAGCAAGACGCTGCCGGCCATTGAGGTGAGCAGCTCAGAGGCAGCCCAGCATGGGCAAGCTGAGGCTTTTGGGGGGTGGCAGAAGAGTTTTGGGGGGCTGCCAGAGCCCCGTGGGTGCTGGACAGGACGCTGCCAGAGCCGCGTGGGTGTCACGGGCTCGTGTCTCCCCAGCTGCTGAACTGCCAGGCCATCCCCGAGGTGAAGGTGACGGCGTGCCTGGTGTGGAAGGACTGGCCCTATCGCGTCCACCCCCATGGCCTGGTGGGCAAGGACTGCAGCAACGGGCTCTGCGAGGTCGTCCTCAAGCCCCAGACCAACCCCAAGCACAGGTAGGCAATGCCAGGGTGAGCCTGCAGGCAGGGAGCTGTGCTGGGCGGCATCGGGGACCTCGCATGGGGATGCGGGCATCAGCTCGTGCCAAGGACAGGTTTTGGGGGGATTTCCCTGGGAAGTGGGAGGCTGGGAGGGACAGGACACCTGGGTCCTTGGGGGTTTTGGATGGGGGGAGCTGCCTCCCCAGCGTGTCTCTGCTCCCCGGCAGCTTTAGCAACCTGGGTATCCAGTGTGTGAAGAAGAAGGAGATCGAGGCGGCGATAGAGAAGAAGCTGCAGTTGGGCATTGACCCCTTCAAAGGTGGGGGCTCAAGCAGAGCCAGTTTTGGGGGCTGAGACCCTGTCGCTGCAGGGGATCCGGGTCCCGTGGGGATGTCCCCAGCCCTTCCATGTGGGGCCACTGACTATCCCCTCTCCTCTCCCCAAGCCGGTTCCCTCAAGAACCATCAGGAGGTGGACATGAACGTGGTGAGGATCTGCTTCCAGGCCTCCTACAAGGACGGTTCCGGGCAGACACGGCACCTCAGCCCTGTGCTCTCAGAGCCCATCTTCGACAAGAGTAGGTGGTGGCGGTGGGACTTTGTGCCTCTGGTTGGGCCACCAGACCCCCAGAACCCTCCCTGGGCTGGGTGGTGACGCTGCACCATCCAGTTCCTCGCTGGGGATCGGCTCGGGCTGCGGTATTTGGCCGGGGTTGGTCCCATGTGGCCAGTGGGGATTTGTCCCTTGTGCCCGGGGTGGGGTTGTCGCCTCCATCCCATGAGGCTGGTTGGGAAGAGACGATGCTGAATGTCCCCACTGCCCGAGCCTGGTCACAGCCTGAGCCGTGGCGCTGCCCGCAGAGTCCACCAACACCTCGGAGCTGCGGATCTGCCGGATGAACAAGGAGAGCGGTCCCTGCACGGGTGGCGAGGAGCTCTACCTCCTCTGCGACAAGGTCCAGAAAGGTACCGGGGACGAGCTGGGAGCTCTGCGACCCTGAGGGCGTCTTTAGGAGCTGGATTACACCCCCTTGGGAAGCCAGGATGGGGGTGAAGGAGAATGATGGATGCTGGAGCTGCTGGAAGAATTTGGGGATGGGTCCAAACGGGGTTGGGAGCTGGGAGCTGCCAACTTCCCCAGGCTTCTAACCCTTCCCTGGGTGTTGGAGGGGGGAACTGGGTGCTGGAGAGGAGAGCAAGGGGGTCCTGCAGCCTCCCAGCCCCTCTGCTGGAGGGGAAGGGCCCCTGGGCTGGAGGGGGAGGACCCAGCACCAGAGAGAGGACCCTAAATCAGGGTGGAGAGCAGGAAGGGGGGGACCTGGGTGCAGGAGAGGTGACCTCAGGGTGCTGGAGTGGGGACCCCAAGTGTCGGTAAGTGACTTTGAGGGCTGGAGCTGGGGGGGGTCCTGCCACCTTGCTGACACCCCCCTCCCAATGCCGGCAGAGGACATCGCGGTGGTTTTCCGGAAGGAGACGTGGGAGGCGCGGGCGGATTTCTCGCAGGCCGACGTTCACCGCCAGGTCGCCATCGTCTTCAAGACGCCGCCCTACCAGCACCTGGAGCTGGCGGAGCCCGTGGAGGTGGAGGTTTTCCTGCAGCGCCTCACCGATAGCGTCTGCAGCGAGGCCTTCCGCTTCACCTACCTGCCCACCGACCACGGTACCGCGCGGCCACCGCACGGCCAGGGGCACAGCGGGGACAGGGACAGGGACAGGAGCCCTGGGGTTGGGACATGGCACGTGGGATGGGACCTGGGCCGCTGGGAGTGGGATGAGAGGGAGTGGGGACACCCCAGGTGTGACGTCAGTCCCCAGGAGGGGACAAGGATTTGAAGGATGGGGACACGGGGTGGGGACAGGAGCCCTGGGGTTGGGATGTGGCCCTTGGGATGGGGACCTGGGTCACCGGGATGGGGATGAGAGGGACTAGGGACACCCCAGGTGTGACATCAGTCCCCAGGGGACAAGGATTTGAAGGATGGGGACACGGGGTGGGGACAGGAGCCCTGGGGTTGGGATGTGGCCCTTGGGATGGGGACCTGGGTCACCGGGATGGGGATGAGAGGGACTAGGGACACCCCAGGTGTGACATCAGTCCCCAGGGGACAAGGATTTGAAGGATGGGGACACGGAGTGGGGACAGGACGCCCAGGGTTGGGACATGCAGTGGGGACAAGAGCCCTGGGGTTGGGATGTGGCCCTTGGGATGGGGACCTGGGCCACTGGGAGGGGGATGAGAGGGACTAGGGACACCCCAGGTGTGATGTCAGTCCCCAGGGGACAAGGATTTGAAGGATGGGGACACGGAGTGGGGACAAGACCCCCAGGTTTGGGATGGGGACAGGAGCCCTGGAGTTGGGATGTGGCCCTTGGGATGGGGACAGCCCACTTGGGATGGGGACGGGCCACTTGGGATGGGGACGGGCCACTGGGAGCAGGATGGGAGGGAGTGGGGACAGGACCCCCAGGGTTGGGATGGGGACAGGAGCCCTGGAGTTGGGACATGCAGTCGGGGACAGGAGCCCCAGGGTTGGGATGGGGACAGCCCACTTGGAATGGGGCCACTGGGAGCAGGATGAGAGCGAGTGGGGACACACCAGGTGTGATGTCGGTTCCCAGTATGGGGACGAGGATTTGAAGGATGAGGACATGGAGTGGGGACAGGACCCCCGGGGTTGGGATGGAGACAGGCCCCCAGGACGGGGACATGGAATGGGGACAGGACCCCTGAAGCTGGGACATGCAGTGGGGAGGGGACCCCCCAGGGTTGGGATGTGGCCCTTGGGATGGGGGGACAGCCCACTTGGGATGGGGACACGGGGTGGAAACGGGGACAAAGCCTGCGGGGTGGGAATGGCTCTCTCCAGGCTGGGGACAGGCTCCCAGCACGGGGACAAGGCTGAGGGGGTGGGGGGGACGCTGTGGGGGGGACACTGGTGCTTATCCCCCCCCACAGACGCCTACGGGGTG